TCTTGGAAAAGCCCACAAACTAGACAGCGTCAATGTCTACAGGACAAACGTGCTGAGTAATGGACGTACATCTCTTTTTGACCCTTGCATTAACAATCTGCACATCAAAGAGTGAGTGGACACTCCAAAAAACAAAAATACCATTCATTTTTTTAAAATATGTTGTGTAGTAATAGATGTATTTATTTCTCTTCTCAAGAGAGTACCAGAATGTGTATTTTATGTTAGTATTTCAAAAAATCTCCTGGGGGAGAATCCCCCCAGACCCCCCTGCAGGGGTTGGGCTTTCAGCATGTCAACTCTTTCACCTGTGGGGAAATTGCAGGATTGGCTCCAGGTCGCCCTTTTTATTTACTACAAGACAAATGTGCCTTTTTATTTCATACAGTTCAATTTGGATTGAGACAGGGAAATAATCTAAACCTCACGCGTGGCGTTTCACTGTCAAGGGGAGCGTGTATGTAATTACATTGCAATTACTGACTTGAGCCCCACCACTGTATGGGTTAGCCCTACCATAGATTACCCAACACAAATACTCTGGAGCCGCCATGACAGAGAAGAGCCTGTCAAGTTTAGCTGTACTCAGCATTGAATCAAAACGCACCATAGCTTCTTCATCTTAATACATTTGTGAGGCGTTTTGCTGATCAAGATGGTAATCGCCACATTCAGCTGTTATAGGCATGCCAACTTGATGCTCTGCTCACGGATGAGTCGATGAGAATAATAAACTGTTAAGATGATGACCTTACGTGTGTATAATATTTTTCTTCTTTGTGGGGGTCTGCCCCTAAAAAACAGTTTCAAGTCCTGAGAAAGTCAAATAAGACGGTGTGTAAAACTTCACTGCCCAGCCAAAAGAAAGTAACCACTTTGATTTAACTAGGCCAGTAGGTAAGGGCTTTCCACTGGATAATAACTGCAGCAATGTATATGTTTTAGCTGAATACACGTTTTTTTTTTTTTTAACCCTAACTGATGCAGTTAGTCACTTCTTTAATGTTTGTTCTTTCTGATGTAAAGTCAAGGTTGTAACTGTTTGCAGTAAAGTTGTGGGGCGCTGAACTGTTCCTTTGAATCTTTTGATATATGATAGTAATGACTTGTCTTTCAAATTTGAAGGAGGGTGAGCAAGCATCTTGAGGAACATTCATCATTAACTCCTCCAAAAAATATAGTTTATTTAATAATAACACTGAATATGTGAATCATAACAGTGATTGACAGCTGATAGGAATAATATGATTGTTAATAGTATAACATGCATTCAGACAAACATCGATGAGACAGTTAATTAATGTACTTATTGCAGCAGTCTGCATTGATTTGGTACCCCTGCTGGTCTAAGAGTGAGACAAACTCATTCAGTTATTGTTCAGTTAAAATTCATTAAATGATGTCTGCCACCTTATATATTTATATGTAAGGCTTTACTGATGTGCCACAATAATGTCACCTATGTTATTGAGTTAAAATATCAATATTGTGGCTTTCCAAGTTAAGATTGATTGATATGACTGCGATTAAATCAGCATATACTTCTGCCAGGGGATGCCACCCCTGAAATTCTCTTGCCACCCCATGAATATTTTTCTAGATCAGCCCCTGGTCATTGATCAAATGATAATAAACAAACATTTGCATGAAGCATATTGGTCCACTCATATGTTGATAAGAGTATTACAAACTCGAAAAGTATTCCTGTAATGGCACATTTCCACTGCAGCGGGGTAGCCTCGTTTAAGCGTCCCTAAGCGTCCTCGCTCAGGCCTCGGGCTGCCTCGCTGGCCATCCGAGGCCATGGCGCATTTCCATTACAGTTTAGGACCTGGAGTAGCAACGCAGTGTAGGCGGGGCGATCGGCTTTGTTGTTCCGTCGAGCTCCCGCTGGATTTTATCATCCCCAATGAGATGTAGGAACGTCGTCACCTCCTCGGTCGACCACGGTGTGCTTTTCTTTGACGTTGCCATTTTTGTAGCTCCTCCGTTTACAAAAATGCTGTGTATAAAAATGCTGCACGCTTGCTTCTAGATATATATGCGACGCTAGGTCTAGGGATGATCTCACGCGCAATATTGTGACGATTCTCTCTGACCAATCAGCAGTCGAGAGTGTTGACGTCACTAGTTCAGCCCTGGCCCTGGTCTGATAGAACCACGATTTTATGGGGCCGGAAAAAGAGGGAAAAAGTACCCGCTAGCCGGTGCTACGCTATATGCAAAGGCCACCAAAAACTGGCCTGGCCGCTTGAGGACGATTAAGGACGCTTAAACGGGGCTACCCGCTGCAGTGGAAATGCACCATAAGATACATTTAGAACAGATCAAAAATGTGCGATTAATTTGCGATTAATCGTGATTAACTATGGACATCATGCGATTAAATATTTTAATCGACTGATAGCCCTAATTTTGGACAATGATGCTCAGAGGACGAGAATATATTAGATATGATTCTCCCTATACTCGTTAGTTATATATTTATTGTTGGGTCAACCCATCAGTCTATCATCACTGTTCAGTTTGACAATTTGTTTGCCCCATGTCTTAAATAAATCAATAACCATTACCATTTATAGAATAAAAAACTCCAAATAAATCCTTGACCATCGTATTGTGTCAAATATGCAACCAAACGTTTATGCATTAGTACTAATCACACCTTTTTTATTGTCGTTAGGAAATTAAAACTAATTGGGGAATGTTTGATAATATAATTTTTTGGGGCAATTTCACAAATAAGAGCAGGTGACTTGTTCAGGAGGATATTATTGTGGTAACAGTTGCAGAAGGATATGAGAAGGAGACCAACTAGAGAGGCAGACCGTCAGCCACAGAGAGGTTACATAAACAAAAACTCTCCCCATTTACAGTACAGTAAAACTCTATAAATATATGTGCAGCTTTTTTGTAAGAGATCAATCCTTTTTGAGCAAAACAGTCTCATTACACATTATTCAATAGCACTATATTCTCCCCAACACTTCATCGTTGAATCCAGAGCCTTTAATGTTGCATTGCTCATACATGATATCACTTAACTCCTAACTATCTCACTGAGTGGGATTATGACATTGGATTACAAAAATATAATGTCCATCCATCCATCCATCTTCTTCCGCTTATCCGTGGTCGGGTCGCGGGGGTAGCAGTTCCAGCAGAGAGCCCCAAACTTTCTTTTCCCTGGCGACATCAACCAGCTCTGACTGGGGGATCCCAAGGCGCTCCCAGGCCAGCGAAGAGATATAATCCCTCCACCTGGTCCTAGGTCTACCCCTTGGTCTCTTCCCAGCTGGACGTGCCTGGAACACCTCCCTAGGGAGGCGCCCAGGTGGCATCCTAACTAGGTGCCCGAACCACCTCAACTGGCTCCTTTCGACGCGAAGGAGGAGCGGCTCAACTCCGAGTCCCTCCCTGATGACCGAACTTCTCACCTTATCCCTAAGGGAGACACCAGCCACCCTGCGGAGAAAACCCATCTCGGCCGCTTGTATCCGAGAAAAAATATAATGTAACCATTGTAAATAGAATCTTCTGAAAATACATTTGTGATTTACTTCTACCGGCTCAATTCGGATGAATGGTTTTACCATATACATTTGGAACATATTGCAGGGTGGATGCGGTTATAAATCAAACATATTCCAAAACACTTTTCAGCTCTATTAAACAAATACACACTTTTTATGAGCAGCTCAAATAAAAGTCACATTTCTGACTGTTGTGTTCATCAGCTGCAGGCGTTCATTTGGGTGTCCTTAGTTACAAATGTATCATGGAATAAATGAACTTTTGCTTGAAATTGTAGTGTACGAGCTATCCTGAGTGTTGGTCCAAAAACACAAGATTATTTATTTCCCATAACGCTAGCGATAGCATCTTTTAGTTGGAAGCAATTATTTTCCATGTAATCTTCACCTATGCAGTTTATAACACCGTTTTGTAGTCATGGATGTGAGGTCTCCAATTCCACACTGAGATAACCCTGATGACATCACTATGACAGCAGGGTTATCTTTAGAATATGTTTTTGGGACAGCACTAAACGATTTCTATTTCAAAAGGTCAATTATTATTTTTTCAATTCCGTCAGTTTCATTTTTCAGCACTGGAGGTCGGCTATTGTGAACAAAACAGGCCAACATCGCCCCCTCAGGCAGACAGTGGGACAGCGGCCTGATGCACTGCCACGTCAGGGTCATTTTTATGACTGTATTTCATCTTTTTACCAGAACTGCTCGGACAGAGGATTTTACGGCTTTATGAGTTGGTCATGCTTTCTGTACAAAGCAGAAAAAGCACCTGACATTATGCTCTGTTCCTCATGAGGCGCTATCACACCAAGTACTTTTCCCTGGAATAGTTCCCGGAACTTAGTTCCCCTGGAAATCTTCAGTTCCGGAACTATCTAGCAGATCGCGTTCACACCGGAATAAGTTCCCTGAGGGAAGATTACGCAAATGAAGCCGTTGATGTCACTTCTTCTTCTTCTGCTTTGGGTTTACTGGCAGGCCGCAACCAACTTCACGGCGTATACTGCCGCCCAAAGTCCCCGGCCGGAAGTCCCCGCAGTTGGGGACTGGCTTCAGTAGAAGCTGCTGGGACTCCCAGCAGCTTCTACTGAAGCCTTCCGAGTAAATCGCCAGAAGCGCCGACACCTCCTCATCACTCCACCATGCTTTCTTTTGTGTTGCCATAAGTTAGTCTCTCTCTGTTGGTGTGCTGGGCTAATGCTAATAATAAATAAATAAATAAATATAATAATAATAACAATAATAATAATAATAAATAAATAATAATGCTAATGCAAGCAAATAAAATGGCGGCTTCACAACTTTTCTGCGTTTTACGGGGCGTGGTTTGCAATTCGCCCAGCCAATCAGAAATAGGAAACTTTTCCTCCCCAGGAAAGTACCACCTCTCTAGCAGGGACTGAAAAGGGGTTAAAAGGTTCCCGAGAACTAAGTTCTAGTTCCAGATCTTGTTGGTGTGAACGCAAAATCCCAGGAACTATCGGAACTATTCCTGGGTAAAGTACTCCGGTGTGAACGCGCCTATGGTGTGTGTATACACCTAAGTGATTCTGATAGAAGACCCAGGCTGAGTTTGCTGTACAGTGCTTTAGCAGAGTCTCAGTCCCCATCCCCATCATTCACATGTGACCTTCATTGACCTCCACTGTGTAGGTGGATGTGGTTTCATTTAAAACATGGAACATCCTGCACTGCAAGCTATTTGTAGTATACATAACATACATTAGGAGTAATGTAGTATAGAATATTGGGAAATATGAAATTATCTTCTATCGTAAACTATTTTATATTATAAAAAGTTGTATAGAGTATGTTCATTCTACACTATATACAAACTAACATACCATTGAGCATTAGCATCCACCTTATTTGGAGATAAAACACCCCTGCAATGTCAGTACTACAGCAACTGTTGTCCAGTGGAAGGATGTTTGGTCGTTGGTTTTGGTGTGCTCCCTTCTGGTTGTACCTCCAAATAAAGTAGTGCTTTTCTGACTTTTCTGTTTACTTTCAACATGTTCAACATGTCTGGCAGAGTTTGTTTCTGTTCAAAGGTCATAGTATTCATTGTGGGAGTTTCAGTATAGCAGTAGAGTTTAGTGACATTGATGTGTTTTAAAGTATGTGTACTTTGTGAGTACAAATGTTATTGTTGCTAATAGAAATGAAAAAGATAACTATGTCAGCCAGAGCAGCTCAGCCTCCCCATATACAATAATATAATATAATATATAATATCATATAATATAATATCACAAAACATTATATAAAATAACATATAATAACTGCATGATATAATAACTGTTTTCAATATTAGTTGAACCACACTATCAAGTCTAATTCAGTCCTTCTGGTGAAACAAACAATACAACTTAGTGTTTGAAAACGATGACTTATGACATATGACTATTCGCCAATATTAATGTAATATCATTTTCCATAATGAAATTGTGCAAATTGCTGTAGCGTGCAATAAACTAAAAGCTTTCCACAAAACCTTTTCCCTGAAATAAAACTGATAACATCATGTTGAAACTCAAAGCAGTAAAACGGTGTCTTTCTAAAGTGCAAAGTCCTCATACTAGAGTCCTGGATCCACTACCAGGACGTCGATGTGGTCCTTCTCTTTGGTCTTGAAGGCCTCAGTGATGATCTGAGCAGCATCTTTGTGCTCCCGCCCTCTCAGGGACACGCCGTCCACCTCCAGGATGACCTGACCCTCCTTCAGCTGTGCACAGTTATCAGCTGAGCCTCCTTTCTGTTAACAGAGATATTAAGGGGAGGGGGGGGGGGGGGGGAACAATCATTTGATATAATTACATCAATATCTGCAAACACAGAGTGTTTTTGTTGATGTTATACTAACTTGTAGCGACTATCAAATAAAAAAGGATTTAGCTGCTGGATAATGAAGGGAGATCTGTCTGACCAGCTGTATTCATACTGAACAGATATAGTCTGGAGTTGCATATCCACAGAGGTGGGAGTAAGTTCTACATGTGCAAGTCATGAGCAAGTCTCAAGTCTTGACCTACAAGTATCAAGCAAGTTCCAAGTCACTGTGGTGAGAGTCAAGCAAGTCAAGTCAAGTCATACGAAATTCTGATGAATAAACCCAGTTTAAATCAGTTAAAAGACAGTGGTTATGAAAATGGATTCAACCCACACTATGATCTTCATTACATACACAGTTAATCATTTGAAATCTAATTTAGACCGATGACAATCATATTAGATTAATTTTAACCCTAGAACTGCAGACGATAAAGCTAGGACTCAAAAAGTCTGTTCAAACAAGCAGAATTCCAGGTAAGAAAATCATATATTTGCCATTACACATATTTAATTTAAAGGTGGGGTAGGTAAGTTTGAGAAACCGGCTCGAGATACACTTGTTATATTCCATGGAATGCTCTTAACATCCAGATAGCAATGAATATCTGAAGTGCTTTGACAAAAAATCCATAAAAAAATGTCATCTGTGGAAGCTGTAGTACTGTAAAAAGCACGACCAATCATCTGAGCCGGCCCGGCTAAAGTAACTGGTCACAAGGACAAATAGTGAAGAAGCTTAATATTTAAAAGAAAAGGTTTAAAAAAAGGTATAAACAACAACATGTATAGCCTCAATGTCCTGAAATAGCTGAATAATGTAATAGTTGAATGGTTTCTGCAGCTGAAAGTAGGCTGAAGGAGTTAGATACATATTAAATGTAAGTAGTAGTGAATGAATGTTTATTAAGAAGAGAAAATAAAGTAAAAACGCTTTGAAAAGCAGCAGAATATTTTAACTGCAAACTTTTGAACTGAAACCATACGTCACCAATAATGTATCAAATATGTGGAACATGTTGAAAGTTTTTGTCACTTCATGCCCTTAAGAGGCATTTTGTTTAATTGTTTTGCTTAATTTAATTAAATTGTTCAACATAGGAGAGGTTTTCCTACGTTTTTCATGAAAAATGATGTCCAAGGAGTGTAGGGTTTGGGAGTTATGGCAGGTTTAAATCTTTTTATTGGGCGAATTTCAAGCTTTCCTCCACTCTGTTTTGAGATCACGCACTCTAGCTGCGCAATACACACTAATGTTAAAATCTGAAGAAGGCCTCTTTACCAAGCTACAAACTAAGTTATAAGTAATAAGTATGTCGAATACTAGACTGTGTGTGGCTTCGCCAGTCACACAGAAATATAAAAACATACAGATTGAATATTTATTTTTGGGTATTTAGGACTAATGACGTCATCCATCAATCAAATTTATCTTGCAAATCACATATTCCAGAAGTTCCTCTCCACAGAGGCTGAAGTTGTTTTCAGGCCAGGTGAGATAATAATCCTTCCAGTGAGTTCTGGGTAATGAGTGAACGTGCCAAATGTATCAAAGGGACGCACTGGCATGCAATCGGCACAAAAAACCCTATCAATTACAAATACACTCAGGGAATTCAGAGCCATGGATTTCCTATTGTTTGTTTATTGTGGTAAACAAATAATAATAAAAAAAGCCAAGTTAAGGTGAACCTTGGCAGCTGCCCTTCACAATCCATCCATCACAACTAATGATGTAATAAATAATAGTTGAGGACCTTTTATATCCTGCTTCTTTACACATAATCTCTCCAGTACAGGTTAGCTCTGAGTGTTAGCGATGCTTGCTAATGTAAACAGACAATATTACTTCCAAAACACGTTGCGTATTGTTTATGATAGGGGACGATAGGTTGGGACGTGGGTCTGTATTAGCAAGTCTAAGGTATTTCAGTTAAAAAAGCCAGCAAGATATATGTATGAAGTCCTGCAGTCAGAAGTACAAATCAGGGAGGGCAGCTAGGTAAGGTTTCTATGGGTTCCCGCTCATTGATGGGGAATGAGAGGGCAATTGGACTGGCAAGAAGGGGAGGATAGAAATGCAAATATGTATAAGTAAGGCAGAGGTTAAATGTGAAATCTAGAAGAAAGATAGGAGGGACAGAGAGGGGAAAGGGAGGCATCTACATCACATTCAAACGAGTGTCAAAGTTATGAGGGTATGTAGTGGATATAGGAGACAAGAAACAGTGTTGACTAGATTGAAAACATTAGAACTGATAGGAAAACATCAGACCAGTTTTTGTGAGGAATGTCAGGAGGAGGAATCAGTAGGACATGTAGTACTGAGATGTAGGAAATATGTCACACAGAGAGAGATATTGAGGAATCATTTGAAGGAGTTAGGCATAAAGGATCTCAATTTAAAAGGAGGACTGAGCGAGGGAGCGCAGGGTAAGGCCCAGACACACCAAGCTGACACCAAAGAACACGTCCTGACGGAACACAACTGTTGTTCACGTCTCCTGCGTCTTGGCCAACAGTCGCACTGGAACACACCGCAAAGACTTCAGCCGATGGCCAAGCAGCACGTACGAATGCGCATGCGTGAGTGGCAATAACTCTCCTTACCAGCAGGCGGCGGTAGTGTGTATTCGTCATTCAAAAGAGGCAACAACCGGAAGACAGACTGCGTGATACAAACTTCAACTCTCTGAAGCAGAAATAAACTATTTAAGCGCTGTGGCTGGCAATCTTAAAGTACTGCTGCTACCACATTCCATGCATCAGTAATTATAATCCAAGATTATATTAATATACAACATCATAACACTGACTGAAATGATGTATCATCTGTATCTTCTGACTTTTATTGTAGTATAGCTAATTGTATCCTCATTCTAATGTTGTGATATCTAATGGCTGTAGTATGGGACGAAATAAAGTTTTGTATTTTGCAGTAGCGGTAAAAAGTGGTTTATTATCAAATGTAGAACTGTACAATGTAAACAATCGACTAAAATACAATAAGATAAAAATAGTATGTAATAGGCCTACAATGAAAAAAAATCACATCGTCCAGGGTCATGTCCGTTAAATACTTGAAGAAGCTATTGTCCACCTCATGCAGGCAACTGAGTTGGTGTTCGGTTTCTTCATTCCAGATCGCCATGATGTAAAATACATTCTTGCGTCCAGGTGAGATGAAAATGAAAAATAATAGCCGTCTGTGTGTGCCTTCTTCACTTCCGCTTCGCTTCTCATGCACTGAGTCGCTAAGCTGAACAGCCAATCAGAGTGATTTATTTTGCCGACAGGCACGGCCGAAAAGACACGACGGTGCGGGACACACCAATCTGAGTAGGGCGACAGGACGCTCATCGACGGCCAGACATCTATCTATCGACAGCCGAAATTGGCTTGGTGTGTCAGGGCCTTTCGGGCACTGCTATATTACTTAAGGAGTACGGGGGTTTTCAAAGGATCGGAGGTGTTATTTATTTATGTTATTATCATTGTGAAGGGATTTAGATTGTAAACCAATGTGTATTGTCTGATCCACTCCGGAACAGAAAGGTGGCGGTAATGTACCATTATGCTGGATGCCAACCGCCGTAAAACTCCAAGAAGAAGAGGAAGAAGAAGAGAGCTGCCATTAGAGCCGCTACACGAGCAGCAACAGGTTTCTCCTATTTTAGAGGTATATTATTTAAATGCTCCCCTGCATAGCGGGTGTCAGGGATGAGCGAAGCAGGCAGGACCCAAACGCAGATTTCTCAGAAAAAACACCTTTATTTCAAGGCTATAAAGAAACAAAACAGAACTCTTCCCTGTGAACACAGTCCAACAACAACAAGGAACTAACAAAGACTAACAGAAAACACAGAACCTAAATGCACACCTGACTAATCAAACAAACAAGAGACAGAAACAGGCAAAACCGGAGGTGAACATTTAAAAAAAAAAAAACAGGAAACCAAAGACAGAAAAAGACAAGACAAAACACAACACAGACAGATCGTAACAGTACCCCCCCCCCCCCCCCCTCAAGGGACGGATCCCAGACGTCCCAAAAAAACTGGAGAGGGGACTCGAGAGGGGACTCGAGAATTGACTAGAGGAGGGACTTGAGAAGGGAATTGAGTAGGGACTAGAGATGGGACTAAAGGGACTAGAGAAGGGACTTGGGAAGGGACTAGAGGAGGGACTCGGGAAGGGACCAGAGGAGGGACTTGAGAAGGGACTAGAGATGGAACTCGAGAGGTGACTCGAGAGGGGACTCGAGAGGGAATTTGAGAGGACACTCGAGAGGAGACTCGAGAGTTGATCAGGGAGGGAAAACAGAACCAACAGGCAAAACAGGAGGTGAACACTTTTACAAAATAAAACAGGAAACCAAAGACAGAAAAAGACAAGACAAAACACAACACAGACAGATCGTAACAGCGGGGCCTGTTACAGTTAAAAATAAAGAGGATTCCTCCACAACCACCCAGTTAATAAATATTTCCTTTTTTGAGATGTTTTTCTCTGTGCTGTAAACATGTTTGGTGCATAGCCACTACATCCATCAAGAAGGTGGGATTTTTCAGGGTGGGATTGTAAAACACACCTCAATGGTCAGAGAAACTAAATCAAAGGGCATGCGGAAAAAAAGTCAACCAACCAACAGTTGTCTGATTAGACCTTAAAACAGCTTATTGATCTGTTCCACATGACCTTAATTCAAGAAGGACTGAACCACTATTACAGATCATTAGCTATTACAGACATGATCACCAGCTTCTGTTCCTAGGAGGTTTCAAACTCAGCACATGTCACAACCAACTGGAAGGACCTTCAGAAGTCTGACTTGACGTACCATTTAGCCCATATTGCTTTTCAAAGGTAGAAACGTCGGGTTACGTATTGTAACCCTTGTTATATTAGCACAGGCTCCGCCCTCTA